CAAATGATTATGACACTTTATACAAGACATTCCCCACCCCTCCCCCCGCTGACTTTACGATGTTTCTTAATTTTTATTTTTTTTTTGTTTCTTTATTTTTGCTGATTTGTTTTATCATGTCTTGGCTATTTCATGCAGAGATTTGTCGAAGAGATTTCTGGCCCTGTAGAGTTGTGTGACACATAAAATAAGAATCAAACAACAATAAAACCGACCATTGAAAAATCATGCAGAAAACATGAATATATTTGCCCAAACATACTTAAGACACTCACTTGAATTTGTATTCCTTTTTTTTTGCTACACCTTTCTTTTACGCCAACATTTGGCAAAGATATTTTTTTGCTTTCTTTTCTTTTTGGGATAAACAACAACTTTAATTAAATATCAATTTTTTTTAATCTTCTTCTTGCCACCACTTTTTTTTTGATTTCTTGAAAATTTCTTCTTATTGGATCACAAGCAAGTAGAAAATGACGCTTACCGACCGCCGCGCCGTGTACCACACCGAACCGAGGAAAATAGGAACAGAACAGCAAAAAAAATGACAAAAAAACACAACACAAAAATCTAATTCATGCACACCGCACTTGCAGAAGCAAGAACAAATAACATAACGCAAAAGCCAACAAGAAGAAACACGTTATTAACACTTTTTTTCTGTGTCGTTTTATCGTTGTTTTTGTTTTATTTGGTTTTTTTTTTTTTGTTTCGTTCACTACGAGGAGTTTTTGTTTTCTTGTTTTGGGTGTTTTTTTCTTTTCTTCTTCTGTGAAACGCGCGAGACAGACGACCCGTTAACGTACGCCAATCACCACCTTCTTGGTTGGGTGTTTCGAAAGCAACTGCCAAATAAAACGGGAACACACTCAGAGCACATTGTTTTGTAGAGGAAATAACGACGGCGGCTGCTGATGGGGGCTCTCAGCAAACGAATTAATTTCATGTTATGAGAGAGAGAGAGACAGAGAGAGCGTGTGGCATACGCATTGTAAGAGATAATTTAAATATGAGAGAGCTCCATAAAAACAAATAGCCCCCTTTAGTTTGTGAGGCAACTGGAAATGAAACACTCAGCAAGCAACACATGGCAAACAAAAACAACAAATAAATAAAGGGGCTCATGGCATTGCCAGATACTAAAAATATACAAATAATACATTTAAAAGGGAAAACAATTATTTTTAACGTCTCACAATAAACGTGGATTTTTTAAAAATTATTTTTAACGTCTCACAATAAACGTGGATTTTTTAAAAATTATTTTTAAGGTACCACAATAAACGTGGATTTTTTTAAAAAATATTTTTAAGGTACCACAATAAACGTGGATTTTTTAAAAATTATTTTTAACGTCTCACAATAAACGTGGATTTTTTAAAAATTATTTTTAACGTCTCACAATAAACGTGGATTTTTTAAAAATTATTTTTAAGGTCCCACAACAAACGTAGATTTTTTAAAAATTATTTTTAACGTCTCACAATAAACGTGGATTTTTAAAAATTATTTTTAAGGTACCACAATAAACGTGGATTTTTTTTAAAAATATTTTTAACGTCCCACAACAAACGTGGATTTTTTAAAAAATGTTTTTAAGGTACCACAATAAACGTGGATTTTTTTTAAAAATTATTTTTAAGGTCCCACAGCAAATGTGGATTTTTGAAAAATTATTTCTAAGGTCCCACAATAAACGTGGATTTTTTAAAAATTATTTTTAAGGTCCCACAGGAAATGTGGATTTTTGAAAAATTATTTCTAAGGTCCCACAATAAACGTGGATTTTTTAAAAATTATTTCAAACGTGGATTTTTTAAAAATTATTTCAAATGTGGATTTTTTAAAAATTATTTCAAATGTGGACTTTTTAAAAATTATTTCAAACGTGGATTTTTTAAAAATTATTTCAAACGTGGATTTTTTAAAAATTATTTCAAATGTGGATTTTTTAAAAATTATTTCAAATGTGGATTTTTTAAAAATTATTTCAAACGTGGATTTTTTAAAAATTATTTTTAAGGTCCCACAATAAACGTGGATTTTTTAAAAATTATTTTTAAGGTCCCACAATAAACGTGGATTTTTTAAAAATTATTTCAAACGTGGATTTTTTAAAAATTATTTCAAATGTGGATTTTTTAAAAATTATTTCAAATGTGGATTTTTTAAAAATTATTTCAAACGTGGATTTTTTAAAAATTATTTTTAAGGTCCCACAATAAACGTGGATTTTTTAAAAATTATTTTTAAGGTCCCACATTAAACGTGGATTTTTTAAACATTTTTTTAAAGTCCCACAACAAACGTGGATTTTTTTAAAAATTATTTTTAAGGTCCCACAACAAACGTGGATTTTTTTAAAAATTATTTTTAAGGTCCCACAATAAACGTGGATTTTTTAAAAATTATTTTTAAGGTCCCCCAATAAACGTGGATTTTTTAAAAATTATTTTTAAGGTCCCACAACAAACGTGGATTTTTTAAAAATTATTTATAGACACCCCTAACAAACGTGGATTTTTTAAAAATTATTTTTAGACACCCCTAACAAACGTGGATTTTTTAAAAATTATTTTTAGACACCCCTAACAAACGTGGATTTTTTAAAAATTATTTTTAAGCTCCCATGGCAAACGTGGATTTTTTAAAAATTATTTTAAGCTCCCATGGCAAACGTGGATTTTTTAAAATTTATTTTTAAGGTCCCACAATAAACGTGGATTTTTTAAAATTTATTTTTAAGGTCCCACAACAAACGTGGATTTTTTTAAATTTTGTTTTAAGGTCCCACAGCAAATGTGGATTTTTGAAAAATTATTTTTAAGGTCCCACAGCAAATGTGGATTTTTTAAAAATTATTTTTAAGGTCCCACAGCAAATGTGGATTTTTTAAAAATTATTTATAGACACCCCTAACAAACGTGGATTTTTTAAAAATTATTTTTAGACACCCCTAACAAACGTGGATTTTTTAAAAATTATTTTTAAGCTCCCATGGCAAACGTGGATATTTTAAAAATTATTTTTAAGCTCCCATGGCAAACGTGGATATTTTAAAAATTATTTTTAAGGTTCCACAATAAACGTGGATTTTTTAAAAATTATTTTTAGGGTTCCACAATAAACGTGGATTTTTTAAAAATTATTTTTAAGATCCCACAACAAACGTTGATTTTTTAAAAAATATTTTTAAGGTCCCACAATAAACGTGGATTTTTTAAAAATTATTTTTAAGATCCCACAACAAACGTGGATTTTTTAAAAATTACTTTTAAGGTCGCACAATAAACGTGGATTTTTTAAAAATTATTTTTAAGGTCCCACAATAAACGTGGTTTTTTTTTAAAATTATTTTTAAGGTCCCACAATAAACGTGTTTTTTTTAAAAATTATTTTTAAGGTCCCACAATAAACGTGGATTTTTTAAAAATTATTTTTAAGACCTCAGAACAAACGTGGACTTTTTAAAAATTATTTTTAGGCTCCCAAACGTGATTTTTTTAAAAATTATTTTTAAGACCTCAGAACAAACGTGGACTTTTTAAAAATTATTTTTAGGCTCCCAAACGTGGTTTTTTTAAAAATTATTTTTAAGGTCCCACAATAAACGTGGATTTTTTAAAAATTATTTTTAAGACCTCAGAACAAACGTGGATTTTTTAAAAATTATTTTTAAGCTCCCAAACGTATTTTTTTTTAAATATTTTTAAGATCCCACAATAAACGTGGATTTTTCCAAAATTATTTTTTAGATCCCACAACAAACGTGGATTTTTTAACAATTATTTTTAAGATCCCACAACAAACGTGGATTTTTTAAAAAAATATTTTTAAGGTCCCACAATAAACGTGGATTTTTTAAAAATTATTTTAAACGTCCCAGAATAAACGTGGATTTTTTGAAAATTATTTTTAAAGTCCCACAATAAACGTGGATCTTTTAAAAATTATTTTTAAGGTCCCACAACAAACGTGGATTTTTTTAAAAATATTTTTAACGTCCCACAATAAACGTGGATTTTTTAAAAATTATTTTTAACGTCTCACAATAAACGTGGATTTTTTTAAAAATTATTTTTAACGTCCCACAATAAACGTGGATTTTGTAAAAATTATTTTTAATGACCTACAATAAAAGTGGATTTTTTAAAAATAATTTTAAACGTCCCACAATAAACGTGGATTTTTTAAAAATTATTTTTAAGGTCCCACAATAAACGTGGATTTTTTAAAAATTATTTTTAAGGTCCCACAATAAACGTGGATTTTTTAAAAATTATTTTTAAGGTCCCACAAAAAACGTGGATTTTAAAAAATTATTTTTAAGGTCCCACAATAAACGTGGATTTTTTAAAAATTATTTTTAAGGTCCCAAAATAAACGTGGATTTTTAAAAATTATTTTTAAGGTCCCACAATAAACGTGGATTTTTTAAAAATTATTTTAAGCTACCACAATAAACGTGGATTTTTTAAAAATTATTTTTAAGGTCCCAAAATAAACGTGGATTTTTAAAAATTATTTTTAAGGTCCCACAATAAACGTGGATTTTTTAAAAATTATTTTAAGCTACCACAATAAACGTGGTTTCTTTTTAAAAAATATTTTTAAGGTTCCACAATAAACGTGGATTTTTTAAAAATTATTTTTAAGGTCCTCCAAGAAACGTGCATTTTTTAAAAATTATTTTTAAGGTCCCATGGTAAACGTGGATTTTTTAAAAATTATTTTTAGGCTCCCATACCAAACGTGGATTTTTTAAAAATTATTTTTAAGCTCCCATGGCAAACGTGGATTTTTTAAAAATTATTTTTAGGCACCCATGGCAAACGTGGATTTTTTAAAAATTATTTTTAGGCTCCCATGGCAAACGTGGATTTTTTAAAAATTATTTTTAGCCTCCCATGGCAAACGTGGATTTTTTAAAAATTATTTTTAATGTCCCATGGCAAACGTGGATTTTTTAAAAATTATTTTTTTTTATTTATTTATTTTTATTTTTTGATATTTATAAAATAGTATGCCTCTCATAGCATTTACATTCCGGTCCATTCAAGGGAATATAATCGAATTCGGTAACCTTAAACATTAAACCCAGAGTGCTGTACATGTTGAAACCGCCCACGGTGGATAATTTCAGGTCCCCGGTTTCGCGATAAGCGAAGGAACCCAAATTCAGGCCATTGAAGGCCAGCAGAAATGCCTTCTCTCCGCAGGCAATGCCCAGACGGAATTCCCGATCAAAATCAAATGGAAAGTCGGTGTTGCGATCTTCTTCACCATATCTGAAAGAAAAATTCAAAATTATTTGAAATTTAAAAAAATAAATATTCCTTCAAAATTCCCCTACCCCACCCAACCTCCAATTACTCACATGTTATCGATCTTATTATTCCGCACCACACAATTCTCATCAAACCTGATGCTGAAGTGGGCAAATAGCTTGTCCCTCACCTCATGCTTGGTGTTGATATTCAGTCGACCCCTCTCCCCGAAACAGCGCACCCGTATGACCACCATCAATCCCTGATACGGTGGCGCCGGCACATCACAACTAAAATAGTTCACCTCATCCCCATAGGGGGCATGGACCCTACACCACAGGGGCCATGGGGTCGGATACGTGTTGCGATGATCCACACGCAGTATCCTCCGCACATCATTGTCGATCTGAAGGGCCTGCAGTAAATGAATGTTACCACAATAATTTAAACGGATCCGATGTTTGCCATTCACGGCCACATGGAAACTCTCCTCCCACAAATGAATAGTCAGTTTGATGGGTTCACGCCACAGGCGGGATATGTCACACTGGACCTCGGCCGCATTGACCCATTCGCCGCCATAACGAGAATTGGCTGTTATCAGATTGTTGACATAATTCAAAACCAACAACATTCCAATATCGGTTTCCGGGTCCTTGCTTAGCTTCTCCTTGGCAAAGGCAATTTGGGTTCTGAAAGCGGAGGGAGTGAAGAAAAAATGAGCGGCTTTCCTCAAAATAGTGAGAGTTTACCTACTTTTTGGGATTCTCCATGGCCTCGAACTCAATTTCAAAATACTGACCCCGATCCAGGTGTTGGGACAGGGTGCCATTGAATTCCGTGGTAAAATGTTCCATTGTGTAGCGAGGTCCGGTTTTCTGGTTCGAGATGCCGAATTAAATTTTTACTAAAACTAAAAATTTAAAGAAGGAAATAATGATTTTTAAAAATTATTTTTAAGGTCCCGCAACAAACGTGGATTTTTTAAAAATTATTTTTAAGGTCTCACAACAAACGTGGATTTTTTAAAAATTATTTTTAAGGTCTCACAACAAACGTGGATTTCTTTAAAAATTAGTTTTAAGGTCCCACAACAAACGTGGATTTTTTAAAAATTATTTTTAAGGTCTCACAACAAACGTGGATTTTTTAAAAATTAGTTTTAAGGTCTCACAACAAACGTGGATTTTTTAAAAATTAGTTTTAAGGTCTCACAACAAACGTGGATTTTTTAAAAATTAGTTTTAAGGTCCCACAACAAACGTGGATTTTTTAAAAATTATTTTTAAGGTATCACAACAAACGTGGATTTTTTTAAAAAATATTTTTAAGGTCTCACAACAAACGTGGATTTTTTAAAAAATATTTTTAAGGTCTCACAACAAACGTGGATTTTTAAAAAAATTATTTTTAAGGTCCCACAATAAACGTGGATTTTTTAAAAATTATTTTTAAGGTCTCACAACAAACTTGGATTTTTTAAAAATTAGTTTTAAGGTCTCACAACAAACGTGGATTTTTTAAAAATTAGTTTTAAGGTCTCACAACAAACGTGGATTTTTAAAAATTAGTTTTAAGGTCTCACAACAAATGTGGATTTTTTAAAAATTATCTTTAAGGTCACACAACAAACGTGGATTTTTTTTTTTTTTTAAATACTGTTAAAAAATTACGGATTTTTTTAAAAAAATTTACGGTCCCACAACAAACGTGGATTTTTAAACAAAAAAAAATACTGTTAAAAAATTACGGATTTTTTTAAAAAAAATTACGGTCCCACAACAAACGTGGATTTTTTAAAAATTATTTTTAAGGTCCCACAACAAACGTGGATTTTTTAAAAATTATTTTCAAGGTCCCACAACAAACGTGGATTTTTTAAAAATTATTTTTAAGGTCCCACAACAAACGTGGATTTTTTAAAAATTATTTTTAAGGGTCCAATAGCAAACGTGGATTTTTTAAAAATTATTTTTAAGGTCTCACAACAAACGTGGATTTTTTAAAAATTATTTTTAAGGTCTCACAACAAACGTGGATTTTTTAAAAATTATTTTTAAGGTCACACAACAAACGTGGATTTTTTTTTAAGAAAACTACTGTTAAAAAATTACGGATTTTTTTAAAAAAATTTACGGTCCCACAACAAACGTGGAGTTTTTAAAAATTATTTTTAAGGTCCCACAACAAACGTGGATTTTTTAAAATTATTTTCAAGGTCCCACAACAAACGTGGATTTTTTAAAAATTATTTTTAAGGTCCCACAACAAACGTGGATTTTTTAAAAATTATTTTTAAGGGTCCAATAGCAAACGTGGATTTTTTAAAAATTATTTTTAAGGTCTCACAACAAACGTGGATTTTTTAAAAATTATTTTTAAGGTCTCACAACAAACGTGGATTTCTTTAAAAATTAGTTTTAAGGTCCCACAACAAACGTGGATTTTTTAAAAATTATTTTTAAGGTCCCACAACAAACGTGGATTTTTTAAAAATTATTTTTAAGGGTCCAATAGCAAACGTGGATTTTTTAAAAATTATTTTTAAGGTCTCACAACAAACGTGGATTTTTTAAAAATTATTTTTAAGGTCTCACAACTAACGTGGATTTTTAAAAATTATTTTTAAGGTCTCACAACAAACGTGGATTTCTTTAAAAATTAGTTTTAAGGTCTCACAACAAACGTGGATTTCTTTAAAAATTAGTTTTAAGGTCTCACAACAAACGTGGATTTCTTAAAAATTAGTTTTAAGGTCACACAACAAACGTGGATTTTTTTTAAGAAAACTACTGTTAAAAAATTACGGATTTTTTTAAAAAAATTTACGGTCCCACAACAAACGTGGAGTTTTTAAAAATTATTTTTAAGGTCCCACAACAAACGTGGATTTTTTAAAAATTATTTTCAAGGTCCCACAACAAACGTGGATTTTTTAAAAATTATTTTTAAGGTCCCACAACAAACGTGGATTTTTTAAAAATTATTTTTAAGGGTCCAATAGCAAACGTGGATTTTTTAAAAATTATTTTTAAGGTCTCACAACAAACGTGGATTTTTTAAAAATTATTTTTAAGGTCTCACAACAAACGTGGATTTTTTAAAAATTATTTTTAAGGTCTCACAACAAACGTGGATTTTTTAAAAATTATTTTTAAGGTCTCACAACAAACGTGGATTTTTTAAAAATTATTTTTAAGGTCTCACAACAAACGTGGATTTTTTAAAAATTATTTTAAGGTCTCACAACAAACGTGGATTTTTTAAAAATTATTTTTAAGGTCTCACAACAAACGTGGATTTTTTAAAAATTATTTTTAAGGTCTCACAACAAACGTGGATTTTTTAAAAATTATTTTAAGGTCTCACAACAAACGTGGATTTTTTAAAAATTAATTTTAAGGTCTCACAACAAACGTGGATTTTTTAAAAATTATTTTTAAGGTCTCACAACAAACGTGGATTTTTAAAAATTATTTTTAAGGTCTCACAACAAACGTGGATTTTTTAAAAATTATTTTTAAGGTCTCACAACAAACGTGGATTTTTAAAAATTATTTTTAAGGTCTCACAACAAACGTGGATTTTTTAAAAATTATTTTTAAGGTCTCACAACAAACGTGGATTTTTTAAAAATTATTTTTAAGGTCTCACAACAAACGTGGATTTTTTAAAAATTATTTTTAAGGTCTCACAACAAACGTGGATTTTTTAAAAATTATTTTAAGGTCTCACAACAAACGTGGATTTTTTAAAAATTATTTTTAAGGTCTCACAACAAACGTGGATTTTTTAAAAATTAGTTTTAAGGTCTCACAACAAACGTGGATTTTTTAAAAATTAGTTTTAAGGTCTCACAACAAACGTGGATTTTTTAAAAATTATTTTTAAGGTCTCACAACAAACGTGGATTTTTTAAAAATTATTTTTAAGGTCCCAAAGCAAACGTGTTATTTTTAAAAATTATCTTTAAGGTCCCGTAGCAAACGTGAATTTTTTAAAAATTATTTTTAAGGTCCCACAACAAACGTGGATTTTTTAAAAATTATTTTTAAGGTATCACAACAAACGTGGATTTTTTAAAAAATATTTTTAAGATCTCACAACAAACGTGGATTTTTTAAAAAATATTTTTAAGGTCTCACAACAAACGTGGATTTTTAAAAAAATTATTTTAAGGTCCCACAATAAACGTGGATTTTTTAAAAATTATTTTTAAGGTCTCACAACAAACTTGGATTTTTTAAAAATTAGTTTTAAGGTCTCACAACAAACGTGGATTTTTTAAAAATTAGTTTTAAGGTCTCACAACAAACGTGGATTTTTTAAAAATTAGTTTTAAGGTCTCACAACAAATGTGGATTTTTTAAAAATTATCTTTAAGGTCACACAACAAACGTGGATTTTTTTTTTTTTAAAATACTGTTAAAAAATTACGGATTTTTTTAAAAAAATTTACGGTCCCACAACAAACGTGGATTTTTAAACAAAAAAAATACTGTTAAAAAATTACGGATTTTTTTAAAAAAATTTACGGTCCCACAACAAACGTGGATTTTTTAAAAATTATTTTTAAGGTCCCACAACAAACGTGGATTTTTAAAAATTATTTTTAAGGGTCCAATAGCAAACGTGGATTTTTTAAAAATTATTTTTAAGGTCTCACAACAAACGTGGATTTTTTAAAAATTATTTTTAAGGTCTCACAACAACGTGGATTTTTTAAAAATTATTTTAAGGTCTCACAACAAACGTGGATTTTTTAAAAATTATTTTTAAGGTCTCACAACAAACGTGGATTTTTTAAAAATTATTTTTAAGGTCTCACAACAAACGTGGATTTTTTAAAAATTATTTTTAAGGTCTCACAACAAACGTGGATTTTTTAAAAATTATTTTTAAGGTCTCACAACAAACGTGGATTTTTTAAAAATTATTTTAAGGTCTCACAACAAACGTGGATTTTTTAAAAATTATTTTAAGGTCTCACAACAAACGTGGATTTTTTAAAAATTATTTTAAGGTCTCACAACAAACGTGGATTTTTAAAAATTATTTTTAAGGTCTCACAACAAACGTGGATTTTTTAAAAATTATTTTTAAGGTCTCACAACAAACGTGGATTTTTTAAAATTATTTTTAAGGTCTCACAACAAACGTGGATTTTTAAAAATTATTTTTAAGGTCTCACAACAAACGTGGATTTTTTAAAAATTATTTTTAAGGTCTCACAACAACGTGGATTTTTTAAAAATTATTTTTAAGGTCTCACAACAAACGTGGATTTTTTAAAAATTATTTTTAAGGTCTCACAACAAACGTGGATTTTTAAAAATTTTTTTAAGGTCTCACAACAAACGTGGATTTTTTAAAAATTTTTTTAAGGTCTCACAACAAACGTGGATTTTTTAAAAATTATTTTAAGGTCTCACAACAAACGTGGATTTTTTAAAAATTATTTTAAGGTCTCACAACAAACGTGGATTTTTTAAAAATTGTTTTTAAGGGTCCAATAGCAAACGTGGATTTTTTAAAAATTATTTTTAAGGTCTCACAACAAACGTGGATTTTTAAAAATTATTTTAAGGTCTCACAACAAACGTGGATTTTTTAAAAATTATTTTTAAGGTCTCACAACAAATGTGGATTTTTAAAAATTATTTTTAAGGTCTCACAACAAACGTGGATTTTTTAAAAATTATTTTTAAGGTCTCACAACAAACGTGGATTTTTTAAAAATTATTTTTAAGGTCTCACAACAAACGTGGATTTTTTAAAAATTATTTTTAAGGTCTCACAACAAACGTGGATTTTTTAAAAATTATTTTTAAGGTCTCACAACAAACGTGGATTTTTTAAAATTATTTTTAAGGTCTCACAACAAACGTGGATTTTTAAAAATTATTTTTAAGGTCTCACAACAAACGTGGATTTTTTAAAAATTATTTTTAAGGTCTCAGAACAAACGTGGATTTTTTAAAAATTATTTTTAAGGTCTCACAACAAACGTGGATTTTTTAAAAATTATTTTTAAGGTCTCACAACAAACGTGGATTTTTTAAAAATTATTTTTAAGGTCTCACAACAAACGTGGATTTTTTAAAAATTATTTTTAAGGTCTCACAACAAACGTGGATTTTTTAAAAATTATTTTAAGGTCTCACAACAAACGTGGATTTTTTAAAAATTATTTTTAAGGTCTCACAACAAACGTGGATTTTTAAAAATTATTTTTAAGGTCTCACAACAAACGTGGATTTTTTAAAAATTATTTTTAAGGTCTCACAACAAACGTGGATTTTTTAAAAATTTTTTTAAGTTCTCACAACAAACGTGGATTTTTTAAAAATTTTTTTAAGGTCTCACAACAAACGTGGATTTTTTAAAATTTTTTTTTAAGGTCTCACAACAAACGTGGATTTTTTAAAAATTATTTTAAGGTCTCACAACAAACGTGGATTTTTAAAAATTATTTTTAAGGTCTCACAACAAACGTGGATTTTTTAAAAATTATTTTTAAGGTCTCACAACAAACGTGGATTTTTTAAAAATTATTTTTAAGGTCTCACAACAAACGTGGATTTTTTAAAAATTATTTTTAAGGTCTCACAACAAACGTGGATTTTTTAAAAATTATTTTTATGGTCTCACAACAAACGTGGATTTTTTAAAAATCATTTTTAAGGTCTCACAACAAACGTGGATTTTTTAAAATTATTTTTATGGTCTCACAACAACGTGGATTTTTAAAAATTATTTTATGGTCTCACAACAAACGTGGATTTTTTAAAAATTATTTTTATGGTCTCACAACAAACGTGGATTTTTTAAAATTATTTTTAAGGTCTCACAACAAACGTGGATTTTTTAAAAATTATTTTTAAGGTCTCACAACAAACGTGGATTTTTTAAAAATTATTTTTAAGGTCTCACAACAAACGTGGATTTTTTAAAAATTATTTTTAAGGTCTCACAACAAACGTGGATTTTTTAAAAATTATTTTTAAGGTCTCACAACAAACGTGGATTTTTTAAAAATTATTTTTAAGGTCTCACAACAAACGTGGATTTTTTAAAAATTATTTTTAAGGTCTCACAACAAACGTGGATTTTTTAAAAATTATTTTTAAGGTCTCACAACAAACGTGGATTTTTTAAAAATTATTTTTAAGGTCTCACAACAAACGTGGATTTTTTAAAAATTATTTTTAAGGTCTCACAACAAACGTGGATTTTTTAAAAATTATTTTTAAGGTCTCACAACAAACGTGGATTTTTTAAAAATTATTTTTAAGGTCTCACAACAAACGTGGATTTTTTAAAAATTATTTTTAAGGTCTCACAACAAACGTGGATTTTTTAAAAATTATTTTTAAGGTCTCACAACAAACGTGGATTTTTTAAAAATTATTTTTAAGGTCTCACAACAAACGTGGATTTTTTAAAAATTATTTTTAAGGTCTCACAACAAACGTGGATTTTTAAAAATTATTTTTAAGGTCTCACAACAAACGTGGATTTTTTAAAAATTATTTTTAAGGTCTCACAACAAACGTGGATTTTTTAAAAATTATTTTTAAGGTCTCACAACAAACGTGGATTTTTTAAAAATTATTTTTAAGGTCTCACAACAAACGTGGATTTTTTAAAAATTATTTTAAGGTCTCACAACAAACGTGGATTTTTAAAATTATTTTTAAGGTCTCACAACAAACGTGGATTTTTTAAAAATTATTTTTAAGGTCTCACAACAAACGTGGATTTTTTAAAAATTATTTTTAAGGTCTCACAACAAACGTGGATTTTTTAAAAATTATTTTTAAGGTCTCACAACAAACGTGGATTTTTTAAAAATTATTTTTAAGGTCTCACAACAAACGTGGATTTTTTAAAAATTATTTTTAAGGTCTCACAACAAACGTGGATTTTTTAAAAATTATTTTTAAGGTCTCACAACAAACGTGGATTTTTTTTTATTTTTTTTTAACATTTTAAAGCAATCGTGGGTTTTTTGAAAATTATTTTTAAGGTCTCACAACAAACGTGGTTTTTTTTTTATTTTTTTTTAACATTTTAAAGCAATCGTGGGTTTTTTGAAAGATTATTTTTAGGCCCCCATAGCAAACGTTTTGTTGTTTTGTTTGTGTTTTTATCTAAATAAAAAACAAGAGTGCGGAAGATTTCCTTGATTAAAAAAACACTCATTGCAGCTTGTTTGTGTTTCTTTTTTTTTTTTTTGTCAATTTGCCAGATCGATAAATTTTCCGCCTCTTGATTGAAAATTACATGATAATGGTTTTAGTTATTTCAATATTCTTATTTTTTTAGATAATATTTAGTTTCTTTTTCTTCAAATTTTCAACACCGAGACACTTATCTCTCCATCAACATGAATAAACTTCCTCTTAAAATGGAAATTCCCACACCAGAATCAAATCGTTTATAACAAAATTCTCACCACTAAAACTAGGAAATGTTATAACAGTAATAACATTACGAAAAAATTGAAAATAATTTTGACTCAAGATATTAATTTTTTTTGGTAGGACCGATAACAATTTTAAATATATCAATATTTGATCAATGAAAATTCGCCACAAAAATTACCGTTTATTATCGTTTGACCCTGATATGTTATAACCGACGATGCACTGCAAACTGACCCAGTAACCATGCTGATTGAGGTATTTATGTCAAATGGGGGAATGAAAATCGAAAGAGGAAATAAAATAGATCCCAATTGCCAAAAAATTAAAAAGTCATGGGAAAGTAAATTAAAAAAAATCCACGTTTATTGTGGGACCTTAAAAATAATTTTTAAAAAATCCACGTTTATTGTGGGACCTTAAAAATAATTTTTAAAAAATCCACGTTTATTGTGGGACCTTAAAAATAATTTTTAAAAAATCCACGTTTATTGTGGGACCTTAAAAATAATTTTTAAAAAATCCACGTACGTTAGGGGACCCTTAAAATAATTTTAAAAAAATATACATTTGTTGTGTTTGTTGTGGGACCCTAAAACTAATTTTTAAAAAATCCACGTTTGTTAGGGGACCCTAAAAATAATTTTTAAAAAATCCACGTTTGTTGTGGGACGTTAAAAATATTTTTTAAAAATCCACGTTCAACAATAACCCTCCAAAATATTTTTTTTATTTTCCATTTCCCTAAAAAATCATTTTCCTTCCGACTCCATTTCAATTATGTAAATTGGATGTGATTGTTTTAACCCCTGGGAATATCCGCTTATCTTATCTGTGATCTTTCGATTCGGCCCCTTCGAAACGCTAATTGAAACAATTAACATAACAGCGTTTATGTGCCCCGAGCTTTTTCAGGGGCATTTAATGCTGTTTGGCAATCTCAATACTTAAGTCATCATGTACACCATGTCGGGTCGGGTTGTGATTGTGTGTGGTCTCCTATTTCTCTTCGAAAATTCTCAATCTGTAAAAAGTTTTCAGATTTTGGAAAAAATTGAATCTGAAAAAAATTTTAAAAATTTTGAAAATTTTTGCCTCACCACCTTGGCTGCCATCGAAAAGGAGAGGCCACTTTATTCTCTGTTGCTGTACCAGGTCGCTGTTGGGGAGCTGGAAAATTTGGAAATTTTCAATGATTGCCCTTGGATTCGTTCAATACCCCACCTAATATTGCGGGAGGGCAATGTGGTGCCCTTTAGCGAGCTCTACAATTCCGAAATTCTCAGCATTATTTTCATGTCCCAAAGAGTGAATGAAAAACTCATGGAATCCGTGGCCCAAAGTTTGGAGAACATGAGGCAAAGTCGGATTGTCATCGCGACCCCGGCACTGGAATCTGGCCAGGAATTCCGGGAGGAAATTCTGAAATTATGTGAAAAATATAAAATGACAAATGTTCTGCTCAGCCACCTGGGAGCTGCAGATAACCACGATTTTATTCTCCAACCCTATCCGAAATATAAGTGGGCTCAAGTATCCTTGGAAATTCCTGGACGCATCTTTTATCCCCCCAATTGGCGGAATATGCACAACAAAACCCTGCTTACCCAGCCGGATGATTCCCTTCCGAATTCCTTGGTTTTCCACGATGACCATGGTCAGGTCCAGGTCAGTGGATTTGTGGCAAATCTAGTGTTTTTCTTTGCGGAATATTTCAATGCCCATCTGCAAATGTATCGTCCGCTGGAAGTCGATGCGCCAGTGCACTTCACCGAAATCACGCAAATGGTCAAGGCCGAACTTCTCGACATACCCATGACCTTGGATGCCGGAGGCAGGGGAAATTGGTGGCATATAACCAAATTTGTCCTGCTCAACAAAGTGGCCATAATGGTACCGCTCTCCTCGCAGCTGAATGTGGATGAGGTGTTCCATTTGCTGTTGGATCGGCGGTTTTTTGCCATCATCTACACGGCCTCGCTGATCTTCTCCACAATTCTCTCGCTCATCGAGTGGATTTTCAATAAAATTCCCTGGAACTGGAATTTCCTGATGAGCGATGAGGTATATCCCGGGGTATTGGGTCAGGCATTCAAGGAACGTCTCAACCCCATTGTGGGTCAGCGATTGATTTATTTTTGCATAGCCCTGATTGGTCTCATTTTGAGCACTGAATTTTCCGCCAAGGTGAACAGTTATTTTACCTCCGCCCCCTATCATCGCCAGCTGGAAAGACTCGAAGATTTGGCGGAATCCCCCATAAAGATCCTTTTACATCCCGCCGATGCCCTCATCATGGGCCAGTGGCTCAAGAAATGGCATCACATCGCCGTCATTGCCCAGAACTCCACGGATTTCCAGGTGAATCGTCACAACTTCAACACCTCCTACGGCTATGTGGTCCAGACACCCCTCTGGGATATCTACGATCATCGGCAGAAATATTTTCGGCGCAATGTGTTCCACATTCCGCCGGCCATGGATTTGCACGAGCTCATGGTGTGGGGTATACCGCTACCGAGGAACTCTCCCTACCGCGAGGCCCTCAATGCAATTATCCATTTGGTCCATGAAAGGGGTCTCATGACGGCCTGGATAGCCTTCACCTACAAGCATATGGTACAGCTTAAACTGGTACCCTTAAAGGATCCCAATACCGAGGAGCTCCTGGAAGCTCTGGATGTGGAGGATTTGCATTGGGCTTGGTTACTAAATGTCATTGGTTGGTTTGTGAGTGGCGGAATTTTTTGCATGGAACTTTTGGTGGAACGCCTTAAGAAAATGGGAAAGAAATGAATTTTGAAAAAAAAATTAAATAAATAAAAAAAAATAAATATTTATTTTTAAAAAAATTATTGTGGAAGGCCCTCAGCAAACGGAGATTTCTTAAAAAAAAATTTGGGCTACTTCCATAAACGTGGATTTTTTAAAAAATATTTTAGAGGACCCACAACAAACGTGGATTTTTTAAAAATTATTTTTAGGGTCCCCTAAGAAACGTGGATTTTTTAAAAATTATTTTTAGGGTCCCCTAAGAAACGTGGATTTTTTAAAAATTATTTTTAGGGTCCCCTAAGAAACGTGGATTTTTTAAAAATTATTTTTAGGCTCCCATGGCAAACGTGGATTTTTTAAAAATTATTTTTAGGCTCCCATGGCAAACGTGGATTTTTTAAAAATTATTTTTAGGCTCCCATGGCAAACGTGGATTTTTTAAAAATTATTTTTAGGCTCCCACAACAAACGTGGATTTTTTAAAAATTATTTTTAGCCTCCCATGGCAAACGTGGATTTTTTAAAAATTATTTTTAGGCTCCCATGGCAAACGTGGATTTTTTAATAATTATTTTTAGGCTGCCAAAGCAAACGAGGATTTTTTAAAAATTATTTTTAGGCTCCCATGGCAAACGTGGATTTTTTAAAAATTATTTTTAGGCTCCCATGGCAAACGTGGTTTTTTTAAAAATTATTTTTAGGCTCCCATGGCAAACGTGGATTTTTTAAAAATTATTTTTAGGCTCCCATGGCAAACGTGGATTTTTTAAAAATTATTTTTAATGTCCCATGGCAAACGTGGATTTTTTAAAAATTATTTTTAGGCTCCCATGGCAAACGTGGATTTTTTAACAATTATTTTTAGGCTCCCATGGCAAACGTGGATTTTTTAACAATTATTTTTAGGCTCCCATGGCAAACGTGGATTTTTTAACAATTATTTTTAGGTTCCCATGGCAAACGTGGATTTTTTAACAATTATTTTTAGGCTCCCATGGCAAACGTGGATTTTTTAACAATTATTCTTAGGCTCCCATGGCAAACGTGGATTTTTTAAAAATTAATTTTAAGCTCCCATGGCAAACGTGGATTTTTTAAAAATTATTTTTAGAGTCCCTTAACAAACGTGGAGTTTTTAAAAATTATTGTTAGAGTCCCAAAGCAAACGTTGATTTTTTAAAAATTATTTTTAGAGTCCCAAAGCAAACGTGGATTTTTTAACAATTATTTTTAGAGTCCCAAAGCAAACGTGGATTTTTTAACAATTATTTTTAGGATCCCACAACAAACGTGGATTTTTTAAAAATTATTTTTAGGGTCCCAAAGCAAACGTGGATTTTTTAAAAATTATTTTTAGGGTCAAACTACAAACGTGGATTTTTTTAAAAATATTTCTAGGGTCAAACTACAAACGTGGATTTTTTAAAAATTATTTTTAGGGTCAAACTACAAACGTGGATTTTTTTAAAAATATTTCTAGGGTCAAACTACAAACGTGGATTTTTTAAAAATTATTTTTAGGGTCAAACTACAAACGTGGATTTTTTTAAAAATTAGTTTTAGGGTCAAACGTGGATTTTTTTAAAAATTAGTTTTAGGGTCAAACTACAAACGTGGATTTTTTTAAAAATATTTCTAGGGTCCCACGGCAAATGTGGATTCTTTAAAAATTAGTTTTAGGGTCAAACTACAAACGTGGATTTTTTTAAAAATATTTCTAGGGTCCCACGGCAAATGTGGATTCTTTAAAAATTAGTTTTAGGGTCAAACTACAAACGTGGATTTTTTTAAAAATATTTCTAGGGTCCCACGGCAAATGTGGATTCTTTAAAAATTATTTTTAGGGTCCCACGGCAAATGTGGATTCTTTAAAAATTATTTTTAGGGTCCCTTGGCAAACGTGGATTTTTAAAAAATTATTTTTAGGCTCCCTTGGCAAACGTGGATTTTTTAAAAATTATTTTTAGGCTTCCATGGCTAACGTGGATTTTTTTAAAATTATTTTTAGGCTTCCACGGCTAACGTGGATTTTTTTAAAATTATTTTTTAGGTCCTATAACAAATGAGATTTTTTTATAAATATTTTGTTTTAAATATTTTTAAGCCACCCATAAAAAACCTGGACAAAAATATTTAGCTATGTATTTCTTCAGACCAATACTCTTTCTCGAAAATCTCTTATATGTGCAATGCCTGAAGTAAACTGCCAATTAATATTCATTCCACATCGCCTTCATTAAATAGAAATTTTATCCATAAAACAGGAAGATGGACACTTGAATGGTTTGGACAGACCCTTCAAAGGTGGATTTGATGAGACTGCTGCAAAGAAAAGAATTGGCGACATTGTTCCTAAGTCTAATCAAACTAATCGACGTTGAGAATATTTACAATGAAATCAATTCCAACAACAATAATGGATATGTCACGAAGTAGCAACAACAACAGCAGCAAAAAGTTAAGGTTAAAATAATATCACAAAAGCCAGTAAAAATAAAATATGTTTTCGTATCGTGATACCGTCAAAGAATTTGATTGATTGCTTTAAAACAATTTTATTCAATTTCGATTAAATGTTAAAATACAAAGTGGCTGGGAAAGTGATTAGAAATTATTGGACATTATTTTTAATAAATATGTTTCTTTCATATTTCATTCGCCGGATTCACAGGGGAACTTAGGCTTAGAAAGGCACAATTGCAACGAGATATACAATAATTTTTAAAAAATCCACGTTTGCCAAGGGACTCTAAAAATAATTTTTAAAAAATCCACGTTTGCCAAGGGACTCTAAAAATAATTTTTAAAAAATCCACGTTTGCCAAGGGACTCTAAAAATAATTTTTAAAAAATCCACGTTTGCCAAGGGACTCTAAAAATAATTTTTAAAAAATCCACGTTTGCCAAGGGACTCTAAAAATAATTTTTAAAAAATCCACGTTTGCCAAGGGACTTTAAAAATAATTTTTAAAAAATCCACGTTTGCCAAGGGACTCTAAAAATAATTTTTAAAAAATCCACGTTTGCTAAAGGACTCTAAAATAATTTTTAAAAAATCCACGTTTGCCAAGGGACTCTAAAAATAATTTTTAAAAAATCCACGTTTGCCAAGGGACTCTAAAAATAATTTTTAAAAAATCCACGTTTGCCAAGGGACTCTAAAAATAATTTTTAAAAAATCCACGTTTGCCAAGGGACTTTAAAAATAATTTTTAAAAAATCCACGTTTGCCAAGGGACTCTAAAAATAATTTTTAAAAAATCCACGTTTGCTAAAGGACTCTAAAAATAATTTTTAAAAAATCCACGTTTGTTGTGGGACCCTAAAAATAGTTTTTAAAAAATCCTGGTTTGCCATGGGGGCTCAAAAATATTTTTTCAAAAAAATCCACGTTTGCTATGGAACCTTATTTTTTTTAAATCCACGTTTGCTATGGGAGCTTAAAAATAATTTTTAAAAATTGCACGTTTGCCGAGGGACCCACGTTTGACAAGGGACTCTAAAAATAATTTTAAAAAAGTCCATGTTTATGGGAGTGGCCCAAAATAATTTTTAAGAAATCAACCTTTGTTGTAAGCCCTCTAAATTATTATTTAAAAAAACTCCACGTTTGTTGTTGTTGTCACCTCACATAATATATTTATTTGTATCCGTTTTTTTTAATTAAAAAAAAAAAAATTTTTCGTTTTCATTTATTCACTGAGGCAAACTGATTTTTCGCTTGAAAACCTTCTTCCTACCCCACAGCACTTCGAGGAGAAACACCACACAACTACCACCCAATCCTGTGGGAATTATCATCCAAACCCAAAAGAGATCCGAGGCCGTCAGCACTCTCTGATCCGTGTCCACGGGCCTATAGCGTATCGAGACCTTTTTCAGCTTCAACATATCCCAAAACAGGCTGTTGTGCCAGGCGTGAATCAATCCCGCCGAATGGACATTGTGGATGAATTCGTTGAGCGCCTCCTTGTAGGGAGAGTTGTGTTGCAGGCGGAACCCCCATGGCAGCATGCTGAAGTAAGCCATCGATTTGGGGGTGTGAAAGACGTGATGGGAGCTGTATCTCTGCTGCCGCAGGAGGACCTGATAAGTGGCCGTGGTGGCATAGTAGCAGAAGGAGGTATTCAATTTTCGGCGATTTTCATGCAGGTAAGTGGTATTGCTGGTATAGACAATAAATTCTCGCAGGTCCTCGGAGTCCCGGGAATCAGCCACATCCACTAGGATTTTCATTTTCGATTCTCGTAGGTCGTGATAGTTGCGGATTTGCGGATGATAGGGTGGCTTATTGAGGTACATATTCATGTTGGCCGAGAAGCGGGTGGCTATGTAGAGGCCACTAAAGCCAATGACCAGATAAATTATTTTTAAGCTTGCCAGAGGTTGGCGGCGCACATGGAAGGATTGACCCAGTAGCCCTGGCCACACCCTCTCCGTTATGATCCAATCCCAAAATTGTTGCCACTCCTGGCGCCAGTGATCTATGAAGCCATGGCAAAAGGATAACACCAAAGAGGAGACAAAGAAACAACAAAAGAAGTGGCCATTGAGCAGGAGTCCGAAAATCTCCTGCATCGATAATTTGTGACTCAACGGAACCATGAGGATAATTTGATTCAAATCATAGGTGTCGGACACATCACGCCATTCCGAGGCATACATTCCGGGTATCATGGCCATGGGTAGGTCCAATTTATTGTCCGCCACCATTTGATTGATGATGGTAAAATGAGTTTCCTTGCCTACTTCTAGGGGCAATGGCATTTCCAAGGTGGCATTGTGGGTCCTGGCGAATAGAATTATGAATTTCGCCACAAAGCCATTCATTTTGATATTCCCCTTGGCATCCTCATAGACAAAGGTCCTCGCCGAATCCTGGTCCACATAGGTCCTTAGGCTGATATTTTGGAAATCATACCATTGTATGGGATAATATGCAGCATGCTTTCGGGGGCACCATTCTTGCCAAGAAAAATGGGGGAAATTGCGCAAAGACCAAAAGGAGGGGTGGGGAGTTTCCTCTGAGAAAATGACCAGGAAAACATTTGTCATTTTGTAATCCTCACAGAGGGTCCTTAAAGTGTCCCTGAGCCGTTGGCTATCCTCAATATCCTCGGCCAGCAATAAAATCCGGCATTGGCGCATGTAATCCAAAATCTCGGCAGCTCTTTGCAACACTTCTTCATCGATTCGAAATCTAAGCAGGATAACCACCAGAATTTCTGAATTATAAAAATCCTTGTACAAAAAAGTCCTTTGATGTCCTGGGCTAAAAATTAATTTTGGCACTTCAATTCCCTGGATAACTTCTGATGCAGGAGCCTCATTTCCCACAAAAAGAATGGAATCAAATGGCGATTCACGGAAAATGTCCTGCAGGATTATCTCAAAGAGTCCTTGATATTCCTTTTCTTGATTCTCCATCTCCATTTGACTCCGCCCGACCAATGAAATTCCCAATAAAACTGCAATGACCACGATTTTCCGCGTCTCCATAATGACTGAGTTTTCCAACATTTTTCACTTGAATATTTCAAGTATTCGAAGTGCGAACTCTATGCTTGTTCTACCACCATCGTTAATAGCCCCGGCATGTCCAGTGCCAATTTAAGTGTCGAAGACAAGGACATTGTTGCAAAAATTGCCAACTATTTATTTGAGAACTGAGATTTGGACGGGCAAAAACCAAAAGGGGTTAATGGCCAACAACTAGGGGTTAATCGGGGTAAATGAACTCACACCCACACATAGCTCCGATTATCTCTGCGCCTCCATCAGTTCGTGTTCAAGGACATTAGGACAATATGTGAATAATTTAAAGCAAAGATGGTAGTATTTGCCAAAGCGAACACGTGGCTGTAGAAAAGTAGAACAAATTTTTAGGGGCTTGTATGCACGTGACCTTTACAACAAATATTTTGGAAGACCTACAACAAACGTGGATTTTTTAAAAATTATTTTTGGGGTTCCTTTGCGAACGTGGATTTTTTAAAAATTATTTTTAAGGTCCCATGGCAAAAGTGGATTTTTTAAAAATTATCTTTGGGGTCAAGTAGCAAACGTGGATTTTTTAAAATTTTTTTTTTGGGGTCCCTTAGCAAACGTGGATTTTTTAAAAATTATTTTGGAGGACCTATAACAAACGTGGATTTTTTAAAAATTATTTTGGAGGACCTATAACAAACGTGGATTTTTTAAAAATTATATTGGAGAATCTGTAACAAACGTGGATTTTTTAAAAATTATATTGGAGAACCTATAACAAACGTGGATTTTTTAAAAATTATTTTTGGGGTTCCTTAGCAAACGTGGATTTTTTAAAAATTATTTTTGGGTACCCTTGGCAAACGTGGATTTTTTAAAAATTATTTTTGGGTACCCTTGGCAAACGTGGATTTTTTAAAAAATATTTTTGGGTACCCTTGGCAAACGTGGATTTTTTAAAAATTATTTTTGGGTACCCTTGGCAAACGTGGATTTTTTAAAAATTATTTTTGGGTACCCTTGGCAAACGTGGATTTTTTAAAAAATATTTTTGGGTACCCTTGGCAAACGTGGATTTTTTAAAAATTATTTTTAGCCTCCCATGTCATACGTGGATTTTTTAAAAATTATTTTTGGGCTCCCATAGCAAACGTAGATTTTTTAAAAATTATTTTTAGCCTCCCATGGCAAACGTGGATTTTTTAAAAATTATTTTTGGGCTCCCATAGCAAACGTAGATTTTTTAAAAATTATTTTTGGGGTCCCATGGCAAACGCGGATTTTTTAAAAATTATTTTTGAGGTCCCATGGCAAAGGTGGATTTTTTAAAAATTATTTTTAAGCCTTTTTTATATTTTAGCCTAGAAATAGGCTACATAAATCATTTTCCTCTCAAAAATTATATTGAAGTTGACGGCATTGAATTAAAATTAAGTCAATCAATTAATTAAAGCCACTCTCATAAAATTAAAATAAAAAATCCGTTTGGCCTCTGATGCGGGTATATCCTTGTCACCCCTTCCTTCCCTTACCCCTTTTTTTCCATTTCATATGTCCGTCAAAACAGTTTCGCTTGACAGAATATTAATTAAAATTTACATAATTTATGTTCGTGGGTTGTGCGGCTGTTTGTTCGGTAATTTAATACTCCCAGCTAAGCACAGCGCCCATTGGCAAGGGCTTAAATATAATGGAATTTTTTTTTATCATGGATTGAGTGCGAATAAAAAACAGAGTAAGATATGAATGGTGGGAGTCAGCCAGACGGCAAGTAAATATGGATAAATGTTGGAGTGAAATCAATACCGAGGCAGGATGAAAGTGAAATTGTCAGAAAGGGGAGGGAGAGAAAGAAAAATTTATTTTCCCCCCTAATTCCGAGATGAGGCACCACATTTTCATTTGATTGAATTTAAAGCCTACTTTTAGGCAAAAGTAAATATTGTGGAATTTGAGGCCCTTCATCGTCGCGTGTCACCGTCACCGTGTAGACTTCCTCGAACCACCTTTTCGTTCCTATACATATACACCCACCCTCCACCACCCACACACCTCCACGGAAAAATGTATTTATCACACCACAATATTTGGTGATGCTGGCTGGGTCCGCTATCACGAAACGCTGTCAACAAAGGGGATCAACTGTTTGAAGTGAAAAACCCCCGAAAAAAGGATTTATTTTCCAAAAAATAACAGTCAAACAAACACCAGCATAACAAAGCCAATTACATGGCCTCACACACACACACCCATACATGTGTATGAGGCCAGACTCCTACAACTGTCGGTGGCAACTGCCAACGACACTGTTGCTGTCGTCTACATATTTACCGAAGGGTTGGAGGTCCGCAAGTCTCGTTCTCTTCCACTTCCTGATGGTGGGCAACACGAATCTGGGAGCTGAGAGGACTTCTTGCATTTTTACTTTGTTTACCAATTCAGCGGATTTAAAATGAAAAAACAAAGATTTACAATGTCTGCAATATATTTACTCTTTGTTGTTGTTGCAATTGTTGTTGTTCTGTTTACAATGGGATTTTGTTACAAAATATGAAATTAGCAAAGACTTATGGGGATTAAATAAGAAATGCAAAACGACAACAAGGAAATAGGAAAATTAAAGCATATTTTTGGGGGCAGGGAAAATAGATAAAAGATTGATTTAAAGTGGATTTTTTAAAAATTATTTTTGAGGTCCCATAGCAACTGTGGATTTCTTAAAAATTATTTTTAAGGTCCCACAGCAAACGTGGATTTTTTAAAAATTATTTTTAAGGTCCCACAACAAACGTGGATTTTTTAAAAATCATTTTTGAGGTCCCTTAACAAACGTGGATTTTTTAAAAATTATTTTTAAGGTCCCACAACAAACGTGGATTTTTTAAAAATCATTTTTGAGGTCCCTTAACAAACGTGGATTTTTTAAAAATTAATTTTAAGGTCCCTTAGCTAACGTGGATTTTTTAAAAATTATTTTTAGCCTCCCATGGCAAACGTGGATTTTTTAAAAATTATTTTTAGTCTCCCATGGCAAACGTGGATTTTTTAAAAATTATTTTTAGCCTCCCATGGCAAACGTGGATTTTTTAAAAATTATTTTTAGCCTCCAATGGCAAACGTGGATTTTTTAAAAATTATTTTTAGCCTCCCATGACAAACGTGGATTTTTTAAAAATTATTTTTAGAGTCCTTTAGCAAACGTGGATTTTTTAAAAATTATTTTTAGAGTCCTTTAGCAAACGTGGATTTTTTAAAAATTATTTTTAGAGTCCTTTAGCAAACGTGGATTTTTTAAAAATTATTTTTAGAGTCCTTTAGCAAACGTGGATTTTTTAAAAATTATTTTTAGAGTCCTTTAGCAAACGTGGATTTTTTAAAAATTATTTTTAGAGTCCTTTAGCAAACGTGGATTTTTTAAAAATTATTTTTAGAGTCCTTTAGCAACCGTGGATTTTTTAAAAATTATTTTTAGCCTCCCATGGCAAACGTGGATTTTTTAAAAAATAATTTTAGGCCTCCAGGGCAAACGTGGATTTTTTAAAAATTATTGTTAGCCTCCCATGGCAAACGTGGATTTTTTAAAAATTATTTTTAGCCTCCCATGGCAAAGGTAGATTTTTAAAAATTATTTTTAGCCTCCCATGGCAAAAGTGGATTTTTTAAAAATTATTTTTAGCCTTCCATGGCAAAGGTAGATTTTTAAAAATTATTTTTAGGGTCCCAAAGCAAACGTGGATTTTTTAAAATTTATTTTTAGCCTCCCATGGCAACCGTGAATTTTTTAAAAATTATTTTTAGCCTCCCACGGCAACCGTAAATTTTTTAAAAATTATTTTTAGCCTCCCATGGAAAACGTGGATTTTTTAAAAATTATTTTTAGCCTCCCATGGCAACCGTGAATTTTTTAAAAATTATTTTTAGCCTCCCACAGCAACCGTAAATTTTTTAAAAATTATTTTTAGCCTCCCATGGAAAACGTGGATTTTTTAAAAATTATTTTTAGCCTCCCTTGGCAAACGTGGATTTTTTAAAAATTATTTTTAGCCTCCCATGGCAAACGTGGATTTTTTAAAAATTATTTTTAGCCTCCCGTGGCAAACGTGGATTTTTTAAAAATTATTTTTAGCCTCCCGTGGCAAACGTGGATTTTTTAAAAATTATTTTTGGGCTCCTATGGCAAATGTTCTTAATTTTTCTTCGTTATACCTGAAAAGCAATTTCCTCTGTTTTATTTATGTACTACTAAAAACTCATATTTTTCATGGGATTTCCGGAGATAATTCCTCTTAAAGGGAATTCTAAATGCCAAACAGAGGCAGCTACCGTTGTCGTGATTGTAGGCTTTATTCTTTGCACCTGAAATGGGGCCATATTTAAAATGCATTGCTTTAGTGGGTTGTTGGAGAAAAGGGTTTTTATTTTATGGCAGAGTTGCCATGTTTTTTCCATTTTCTTTCAATGTTATTTTCCATAAATTGACACCACAGTTTAGACAGTTTATTGGATTTCATAAGGTCTGGTCCATTGCTTAAACCGAGGAAGTATAATTTTAAAAAGCCGACCAAATTTATCCATCAATTTATTCCCGGGGAAACCCTGAAACAACAAAAACTGTTGTTTTAGAAATGTTTTCGTTTTGTTCGCCTTCTTTCATTGTGCTTTGACTGGGCTATTGTTGCTGCTGTAGTGAAAATACAAAAATTACTCTATCTTGTTATCCTGCTGTGAAAGTGAAAATTATATATGAATACTACTACTAGTGCAACTTGTACATTATACTTGGAGGCTTTTGTAATTTATAGGACAAAGTAACAACAATAGTATCAGAAAGGAAAAAAACATTTGCCGGAAGGATGTGAATGGGAAGAGAAAATATTTAAATGACGAAAGTAAAAATAATTTTTAAAAAATCCACGTTTGCCATGGGAGGCTAAAAATAATTTTTA